AGAGCACAGTCCTCAGGACACAACTGCCCCAGAACAGAAGCCGTGAGGACTGCAGCCATGCAGGGCAGAGGTCTGGACACACTTGCCCAAGGGGGTTCAGACACCCTCTTTACCTGCAAGGCAAATCCTTCCTTTCCCTCCACACGTGTGCACCTGCCCTGCCCCTGCAACGCAAGGACACGCTGCTGCACCAGCTGAGCAGGACCATGACACCATGTATGGCACTGCTTCCTCTGTCTCCTTCAGCCTTTCTTTTGCTATCCAGTTCATCTAACCAAATGGTTGAGTATCTTCTGCCTGCCTCAGCAAGAGAGGATGAAGCCCAAGGACTCTTAAGTCAGGAGTCTTAGGTGCGCCCATCCCCAGTTCTGCTAGAATGGCACCGAGTGGGGTCTGAAAGATATTTTACTCTCCCAAAGTCCCATTACCTGGGACCTCTGTAAAATATTTTCTATCTGTGGGTAAATAGACACTTAAGGCAAGTCTTTCTGGGGTCCTTTCTCTAAGCTAAGGACTAAAAGCTAAGACTTGTTCTCTGAGGTCTTCTACAAAGAGCAAGGTAGGAGGCTGCACCTGAAGTGTCCTACACAGCAGGTGGGTTCAGGGAGAATAAGATAAATAAAAGACACTGGGAGAGGGAAGGCAACTTAGAAGTCCAATGCACAACATCCTAAGGACAAACCAGAGAGCAAAAACATGGCCGCCGTTACTGGAAAAAGGACCAAAACACCACAGGTCCCTTCTTCTCTGCTTTCCAGTCAGCTCCGCGGGTGTTGGTCAACTGTGCTACTTCTCCACAGGAATATAATGTTGATCAAAACACCCTGAAACCTAAGTATACCTTTTGAGAGCAGCTGCCATGCAGAAAAGCTTGAGAGAATAGCTTATATATATATATATATATATATATGAAGGAAAATATTCCATAAAGAAATTGCTACCTACACACCTTATTAAAGTCAAATCAGGATCAAATCAGAAGGGCAAAGAATTAGAAACAAGAAATTTGGACAAGAGTATCACCTTTCCACAGAAAAGCAAGGAGGAAAAGCTGTAAGACGAGACTACTGATAAATGGTTTAAGAGAGTGGATTCTGTCTTCTGAACTCGCTTTTCCTGTCAGGGATTCATGATGTCCAGCCACTGCTCTCCATCACCTAAGCGTTACTGTCAGTGGTAGGACCAGGCTGGGTACCATGCTCCACACTGCTGGCTGCTGAACAAAAAGGTTGTAGTCAAAGCCCCAGTCCTACAAAAACATAGTCTGGTGTTAAATTTGGCACAAAGGGTTCATTCAAAGCTTCGTGAGGTCCAAACAAATCCACTTTTTTTTCAGTGGATTTTGGGTGAAGAACTAAGGACTTGTGATCACAAACATATTTAGTCTTTTATGCTGTACCAGGGTAATATAAATCAGTAAATATTTGGTTTTGAGCAATGTTAACCAAATACCTACAATAATATTACTGTAAGGATTAGATTAACCAATGCTGCTCAGTGCATTTAATTTTGGGACAGTTTCTTTTTAAGCAATAAAACCTTTTACTGTTGCAGAACAATGAAAAAAAGCACATGAGAATACTGCAAATAAACATAGTGAGGTTTTGAAAATGCCCTGATGAAAACACAGGAAGAAACTTTCATTTTATTTTCAATTTGTTTTAATGAAAATGATGTCTAAAGACATAACAGGGGAATAAACGTAAAGACAACCTAGTGTGTAAGAGATTAAGATTACCAGGATTACTGAAGCTGAACAAACTTCTCTTGTTGAATGGCAACAGCTAACTTAAGTAGGTTACTTACAAATAAATAAAAAAAGGGCACTGGAATGTTTGCAAATGTCCTTCAGCAGCTTTAAATATTTTGGAGGTATTTCTAACCTGCAGCTGAAAGAATGTGCTCTTAACAATTTGGCTATATGACTGTACCATACCTTTAATCTTGAGCAATGGCAAACTCTTAAAGAATGAAGACTTTGATTTGATAACCAAAACGTAAGCAAGTAGATGATTCTCACATAGCTTCGTCCACAGTAGTCCTGCACTTTTCCATACTAAAAAGTCAAACATACTCCTGTGTTAGAAAAGACAGGGGAAAAAGGGGGACGGGGGCTGCAGTAACAGAAGGAATAATAATGGATGAATGCAAACCACTGAAGATCATTTTAATGATGCCACCACCAGTCTGCTGGTACGCAGGAGCACATGGGGTGTTACATGCCTCCTTCTCCTTGGTAGGATGGACCTTAACCATGCACTTCACGCTGCACAAACCTACTGACACAAAAGATTAAACAGCCAGAGCAGACGGAGCTGGGTGTTACTTTTAGCAGCTTCTCTGCTCTCTGGCATGTGCGATGGCAATGAACTCCCTGCCCTCTGCTCAAAGACTGGTCAGGGTTGGGTGCAGGTAAAAGCAAGGAGAAGCCTCTGCATAGAGCCACCCGCCCCTCAAAAATCAGCACAGAGGTGTGCTTGATGGTGGATCTTCTACCCAGCTTCTGCCTGCAGAAAGACCATTACTTCTTAACTGTTTTTGTAAAAGGTGGACTCCTACTTCAGTCCTTAGAAAAAATCAACTTTTAAATGTGTTTGACAGCAACAGCCATCTCCGAACAGCAGTTCCCCATCAAGCTGCTGCACTCGGGGAGCTGGCTGAGGCTCCCGGCTCGCTCCTGCGTTCAGAGGTTTTGCTAAACAGCAGCGTTTTGTTTCCAACCCACAAGAGCCCATAGAGACATGCCAGCTTAGAGGCAGTGCTAAAAATCTTTCAAGAAGGGATCTGACATTTTCTTTTGTTCTCATTTCTATAGTATTTTCTCCTTTGAGAAGGTTATTTGAAGTATCTGGTGCTGACATTTAGCAAAATGTGAAATATGAATTGGAATAGCTGTTCATAGGTAGTGACGCGGCGCGGGACGGGGTGTCCCACTGGAGGGGCACTGGCCAGAGCACACATAATTGTTCAAATGCTCCCACAGCTTCAATCTTTGCTGTGCTTTTCTCTCTCCCCCACACAAATTAACCCACAAGCACCAGTACAGGGGTGCTATATTTCACCAGAGAGGTTCTTCTAATCTAGCGCTCCATCATAAATCAGAGACATCTCTTCCATCTCGCTCTACCAAAACAGTGTTTCGTGACCAAAAGGATGCTTATGCATGCAAATCCTTCCCGTCACAATCACAAAAATTTCCTATGTATAATTAGCTCACTGCAAAAAATTACCAGATAAATTTGCCTCTAGCAAAAAAGCTGATCAGAAGATGAAAGAGACCAAGACATCCATAAACTGCCCTTTTTCACTTATTTATGAAAGGACTCACTGCAAGGGAACGTATTTTATAGCACCAATATTCTTGGATGAAAGTTGCATTTAGTGCCATTATATTTATTCACTTACACTTTTGTCTACAAAAACCTCACCACAAGATGCCAAAACACGCAGCACTACAGAGCTCCCCCTTCTCACTGGAGAGGCAATGGATGCTCTACAGGTCCATTAGCATTCAGAGCCCCACAGGATCACTACTTCCAGGCACACAAGCGCATGCTGAGCAAATCAATGTAAATCCTATGGCCTGATTTCCCTAAGTGCTGATTTTCCAAAGAATAACCCAAGTCAAAAAGAGAAACCGGATCTCAGCCTTCCTGCAAAATCAGCAACAATTCAGAGCTTCAAGCAAAGTTTTCGTTAACTTAGTATCACTTTGACTGTATTTTTATCACTTAAACCAGAAATGCCTGCATTATCACAACTTTTTTAAATGCAGAAAGAAACATCAGTGTCTTCCACACGGAGTAAAAAAATACCAAGCGTTTATCTCCTTGTACACATATGACAGTATCTGAATTTCTATCCAGATACCATTAAATATGATCAAATCTTTTAACGTCTGCTAACACTGCTCGATTGCCTGCCTGTGTATTCACATTTGCAAAAGCAGTCAGCAAGTCAGTGAAAAATAAAGCAAGAAAAACTCTTGCAGAAAACCCTGTCATGGTGAACAGAACTGAGCCTGCTGTGCCAAGCAAGCCACGTCCCATTCCTCTGCAAATGTTAACGCCATTGCATCTTATAAAAGATAATGGATGCCTCACAGCCACATTCCTCAAGTGAAACTATTTGCCAAAATACCCTGAAAATTTACAGCAAGGATTTGTACACACTGGACCTAGCCCCCCAGTCCCTCAATATGCTTCCTTAAGCTCCCCTGTGACAAAGAAAAGCAGAACTTCAAGGACACGGACATGCCACAGCATCCCAAACACCTCGGCACTGCTGCTTCAGCAGTCGCCGGAGACTTCGGGCCAGCCTTAGCGTTTATTTGTAAGCTCTCAGTAGCCCTCGCTGCTGCGGTTAAGGGTCAGGCTTTCCCACCTTCACCCTCTTTTATTTGCAAAATTGTTCAGGCTTATCTTGGGGAATGCCTGTGTTACCCAGCTGGCGTACAACCAGGGATGCAATACAAATCCTCAGGGACAGACCTCCAACTTCTCCAAAAAAAATTAGATGTATTTTATACGTTACAGTCACTTTACACATGTGCTGTAAACCAACATTTACCAAAAGTGCCAATTTTGTGGCACAAAGATGATACTCCCAGGAGCATCAGACTTTCTACACACAGACAAGTTTCTTTTAGGAAATCTTAGAAGCGTGATGCTGATACACATACCGCTACATACACACAAACCCCCCCCTCTTCTGGGTGTGTTTTAAACACTGACCATTTACAACAGCTTGCGCTATGTCATAAGAGAAGTCACAGAGAAAACATCAGTGCCTTATACATTTTAAGGTGTCTGAAGTGCAAAGCATAGGATGCAGACGTAGTAGGGGCACGCTGGCACACATCACATCCCACCTCCGAGCGTGGAGGCCTACACACCTTTTGAAAGATGCGTGGAAAGTTCCCAAAGCAGGGAACCCTTTCTCTCAGGCTTTTTACCTCTCTCCCAACCCGCGAGTCTCACACGTGCCCTAGAGGTCCTCACCGGTCAGCGACTGGTCCGCTCCCAGCACGTTCCATTCTGCTGGTAGTTTCAGGTGTCGAAACGCCAAAGCCACTTTCTCATCCAAGAAGTCTACATCGGCAGCGGGTGGTCTCGACCGGTCCAAGAATCGGGTGAAATTTAGTGCCTGCTGGTTGCCGGCACAGGTAGCCAGAAACTGAGCGGCATCATAGGCTTCATCCTGGACAAACTGGAAACTCTCTTCTGCCACAACCAGAACAGGATGACCTTCTCTAGAGGCACAAAGTGCCACCTTCACTGTCTCACAGCAGTCATGGCCTGCAAAATAAAACCAAGGGAAATGGTAAAAAAGAACAATTGCATGAGCTGAAGAAACACAACTGAGCGACTCCTTTGACACACATAGTTTTTACATTGAATCAGGTAAGAGCAAGTTATTAAGGGTCACAACTCTAAATGAAACACTATCTGGGGAATTTATATGTATCATCAGAGATACGTATTTCTTACAGACTTTAAAAGGAAAAGATATGTAACTTTTCTCTGTCACAACATAAACCAAGAAATATAAGCCACCCTTATCTAACCAAGCTATTTTTGACGAGTGACAGGTAAACTCAAGAGCGTTAAGTAATTCAAGTGAAGACTTTTCTAACGTACCAAAAGCCAGATTATATGGTCAAACTTTTCTTTTCCAGCTCCACAGGACTCCAGTAACTCACCAGAAACTAGAATCCGAGTGCTGCAAAACTACATACTCCAAATGCTGTCACAACACTTGGCTTGTACCGAAAACACCGCAATTTCACCTAAAACAAAGACCTGAATGGCTACGAGAGCGCGACCTGCCCGGGCATGCCCGGCGCGTGCCCTCAGATCCCACGCTCACTGCTGCACCTGCCCTTTGCATTTGGGTTCACATGACAAAACTAAAACTAAGCTGCTTCTGCTAAACAAAAACGTGGAAATGGCCACTTTCCATATTTACAAAACAAGACGGTTGGAAGTTTGATAACTTTAAGTTTATTTATTTATTTAGGGCAGGGAAACTGAGAAAGGATGCTCTGGCATGGCAGCAATTTCATTGCCTCAGGACCTAAATTAAATACCCAAAAAACAAAAAAAAAAAAAACAAAAACAAAAACAAAAAACCAAAACTCACAACACCTTTTTTGCAATTTTAAAAGGAAGAATATACTAAGAATATACTATGTGTCCAACACAACCAGCACTTGTAATTGTCAGACATGCCCCTCCAATAATAAGGTTTGTGTTTCAAGTTCACCATGCAGCACAGTTTCTTGTTCCAGTCTCGGACTGACGTCATGGCTGTTTTTGCCAGAACAGCACGGACCCTGCACTAATTACTGGAAAAGCTTCTTTTTGCCCATGACCTCAGCATACTACTACATTCATGAAGCCCTGCTTAATTAAATACAAAATGACGATTTATTTTTAAAGGCTTGAAAATTCAATTTAAGCCCCTATTTGTGGTCAGTGGGAAAGTTTCCTTCTTGTGTCAGGGCCCTTTGCTGTTGATTTCCCTGACAAAAGGAAAAATATGTCCCTAATCTTCATGGTCTTTCAGCCAACCTTCCAAATCTGTTCTGAGGCTTTCGGCATCTATACAGGTTCTGTCTGCTGAAAGAGGCGATCCTGAAGTTAACTGAAAGGTCAAAACTGCTATTAGGACACCAGGGGTAGCACCAAAATTGTCAGAGATGAGGCCACGCGGCTTCCTAAGGAGAGCAAATGCAGCTGGAAAGGTATCAAAGCCAAGTGTAGAAGGGGAGGATGAAAACACACATGGATGTCGCTGCAACAGCTCAATATAACCAGGAGGCTCTGAAGCTGAAAGGTGAGAAAACTTCTTTCCATCCAGAACCAGGCATGTATTAGCAAGAGGATGATGTGAAAGCAGAAGGAATAGATTTGCTAGTATTGATGCTACAAAAAAGAATAAGGGTAGGAAGACCTACTTCTACTGTTCTTGGAAATATTGCACGTGCATTGTAATACATCACCAGTCAACAGGACGGGCAGCGGCAGGGATCTCAGCAGCCCAGATGAAACCCATTCACAAACTCCACTCGTCCTCACAGTAGAAGCCTCAAATGTTCAAGGGAGAAGCGGGGAGATGTTACAACTTTGGCGGAGCTCGCCTTTAATGCAGTTCAGAAGTGTACATCCCTCCACCTCCTTGCTTTGCTCATGTTCTTAAGGACAGCAGAATAAGGAGCTGGTAAGACTTACTAATTTTGTTTAAAACCTCCACAAAGCAGGGAGTTGCATGCAGCCTGCTGAGAATGCCGTGCTACCCTACAGGAGCTGACTCAAGTGCTGAGAACTTGGCTCTCCTTCACGCAAAGAAGAAGTAGAAGTTCTCTAGAATGCAGAGTTAAAAAAATTTCATAATAAAAGACTCCTTAATAGCATGAGAAAAGCTAAACCTTTTTTTTTTTTTCCCCAAACTATTTTCTGTCTATTCCCACAAGAATCCCATCTGCAAAATAACCTAGACTATGGCTACTCTGCCAGAAATCCAGTGGGCTTTCAGGATTGAAGCGGAAGGCAAACACAGCCCGTGAGCAGCTACAGAGAAACACTTTGGGACAGTCATTTCCTTGTCATGAAGCCAAGCAACTCTTCTGTGGGACAGCAAAAGCTTCTCCGTCATGACAACAACTAGAGAACCCTCAGTCAAGACACATGGCCTCCTTAAACCGGTACATCATAGATGTATACAGAGTTCCCTTGGCTGCAGCGTACATGAAACACCAGCTCTAAAATTAAGCAAAGCTACAGGATTGTTCAGTGCAGCACAAGGGGAGGTAACAAACAGGCCATGTCCCGATCTGCAGCCAACGATGGTTCTCTTGAAACTTCCCCAGATATCAAATACAGACTTGAAAGCGAGGTGACAGAGTTGACAACCCATTTTCATCTAACAGGATCAAACAAGCATCCTGCTAAACCCTGGGGAATGTTCTTCGAAAAGGCAACCGCTCACAAGGCTTTGATGTTCTCCTTCCCTACATCTGAGAAGATGTCAGACTCGGGGGGTAAGAGTCTGGGACAGGTTCTGACTTTTGGCAAACAGTTCAAACGAAAGAGCAGTCAGTAAGGAACAAGCGTGGCCAATACTAAAAAGATTGCTCAAGAGGTCTCTGCCCCCCTGCTTTGAAACCACTACAGGAACAATGTAAGCAAACATGTCCCCAATACATGAACCTTCTGAAGGAACCATCAGTGGGGCAACACTTGTCTCCACATCAAAGACCACTGCTTCCTTCACCTAGACTAATATCTGAACTTCAACAGCCCTTTTTCCCCAGAGCATTAGCACAAGTGAGCTAAGCTTTCTGGCACTCTCAGGAGGTAAGTGGTTATCATCTGTAAAACAAGCCCAAATCTGTTTTTATGAGGTTAAGTAACTTGCCCAAGATCACAAAGAGCTCCGCGCAGTGCCAAAATAGATGCTATTGCTCTTGATCATCTCTTTTCTGCTCCGGCTGGTAGATGGTGGGGCTTTCTCCTAACGTGGGTTAAGCACCAAGTCACGCACTTTGCAAGAATCAGGGTGTTCAACTATCGACTGCTGTAACTCCCTTGGACACCTTCCCCAGAAGTGGAACAGAAAAATATCTGACTCATTAAAAAGGCAAAAAAAAACCCAAACAAACCCTGGGTGTGTCAGGAAGAGTGATGAGCCTATTTATAGCCTATTTATAAAGGTTTGCATTTTGGTAGGCTGAAAATATATGTAACTGAATAAATCACACAGATGAGCACACCCACAGAAGGGAAGAGAAATCTCCATGCTTTAAAATGCTATCAGGTTCATGATGCTGTACAGCACCTCCCTGATTGCCTTCGGTCTCCAGAAATGAGGCCCTTTGGCCAAAATAGCAATTAAAAGCAAATGATGAAGTACTGAACATCGCCCCACTGTTACCATCCAGCAGCATCCCAGTTCAAATTTTAACCCTTCTGACAAACACGACAGCGTTTCTACCTTGCTGACATCTCAGACCGCACAGAATAACTTTTTCATGTGTATAGCTAGGCTTCTCTTCTTTATACGTGGGGTTTTTTTGCCACAGTATGTAATTAGATCATTTATATGCTGGCCTAACTGTGATAAAAGTCAAATAACCCATCCCTTAATTCTTCCTGCATTGCATTTTACCCTATTTCTCCTTTCGCTCCTCGGTTACTTTGGAAACAATTCACTACTAGGAGCTGTTGTGAGAAGTGCCAACATATTGCAGGAAAAATACAAAAATTAAAAGAACTATTTCAGTCTATGCAGAGATGGGTGCAGCAACTGCTTCTGTCCTGATAAAGTGAATTCCTCATCTTCACGTAAAACCACACTTTAAAAATTATTTAAAATGAGACAACAACTCTTCAACTAAAGAATTCTTTACTGGGCCACGTACTGAAACTTGCTTTGGGCAATACAAAAGAACAAAAAAGGCAGAACCCAGGGTTCTGGTCTCTCTGTACTTATCCCCGAAAAGATGAGACGCATCGGTATGACAGCACTGCCTCCTCTACACAATAACAATGCAAAACAATGAGCAGAAGAAAAGGTGGAGATTTGTGAGCTGTAAGCAATTAACAGACAAGTTAATGTATGGCCTTGGACCTGGCCATCCAATTGGTACCTGTGTCTGTGATCTGGGGTGCGCTTAAAAGGGCGGCAGCAAAACTCGTCCGACTTTTTCTCATGAAACAAGGCGCGCATGGAGACAAAACACCCCTAAACAGAGCTTTACTAAAACATGATTTCATTTCCTACTCCTCTAAAAGTGGAAATCCTGTCCAAACCTCCTATTTTCAGAATTCACATTTGAGCTATCACACAATGGGTCTCCAGCCTGGGCAGCTATTTAAAGCCCTGCTGGAAGCACATGTTTGGGTTTGCCTAGTAGGTGACTAAGGACTCTGGTGCTAATTGCATCCTCTGAGTTACCATGGCAGAGCTGGGTTGAAAGAGGTTGTACAAAGAGATTTAAGCAGGACAGGAAAGCCAGACAACAAACGTGATGAATCTCATGGAGTATCTTGGATTTGCATCCAAGAGATGTTGCCATCTGGTGGCTCATGGACGGGGAAATCAAGTGATCTCCTGTGGCCACCTGAAAAGTGCTTCAGAAATCCCAAATTCTGGTTCTGAAAATCAGAGCCTGTATTTGAAGAGTGTTTGTGTGATTTACACAATTATTGTATTCACTCTTGCAACACAGGAAACCTTATGAAATACATAGACACAGTACCAGTAACAGACAGGAGCCTTTGTTTTTCATTTTAAA